GGAATGTTGCTACATAGAAATGAAGATTGAAGCCAAAATCATCTCTTTAGTCGTAAAATCATGTTCTCAACTCACACGAATTGTCAATTTCTAGATGTAAGTTAAGATATGAGGTAGCCTTAACTTTATCTGTAGTATTCTTTATTTTAAGTTCGATGGGATAGATGCGTTCAACATAGTCAATAAACTTTAAATCAATTAGTTATAGAACATCATCTTTATAGCGGTACTTGACTTTAGCTTCGAAATGTTTCTGTAGGAAGTCTGCCTCGTGTGAATAAAAGCAACAAGTCGGCAAGATGGGCAGCATAGTTAGTTCCTACTGTTAAGTTACGTTTATAAGATTTAGTCTCTATAATTTATTACGAAATACAAAATATATACTGCACTACCCTTTACCACATTTCTAGTTTTATTTATATATAAATCTGCATATTTGCACAATAAACATTCTGCTTGATAGTAGTTGATATTAACTACTTCTGAAATATTATAACTTGCTGATTATAAAAAGGGGGAGAACTGATTGGGAAAACGTTTACTGTGTTTGTATCATGTATGCTTTTATACTGACCAATAGTAAAGTAGTGTATTTTAGATAACTACTACTGGAGCGGTTTTACTGGCGATTTATAATCAGTCTTCAATGGTACCATTCACCTAGTATTCAGTTGTATCGGTACTTGTAAGTTTACCGTATACAGTTCTGGCTCTCTTATGTATTTGGCCCTTTTACACATTCTAAATGTATTGTTTTCCATACTTTTGAATTTTAGTCAACTTTGTGATTATTATTTCGGAAACTCGTGTCAAAAGCATGGAAATCCGTATTATATGTTTTTATTGTACAGTTTTAATATATATCATCTCGTACATTTTTCTTTCCAGAGGGCGGTTACTAATCATCAAAACATTTGGATGTTGGTTTATGATACAGGCTACACAAACTCTCGACATTATGGGTCATATTTGCTTTTTTTAAAGAAAGAATTAAATCATAAATTGCACGCCCTTTTTATTGTGTTTTGCCATATTGTTATTCATTTCTTTTTATGATAGTCTTTGCCTTTATATCGTTTGCAATAAAAATCATATCAAGACTCTATTTCAGTTGCCAAGTATCACATTCGTATCTTGAAACCATCATGTAAATATTAACACATGTTTGAATCAATGACATTGACCAATCTATCTTTTTTAGTTGTTATATATTGGCTATTGTTAGATAATGTACAGCATGTTGATTTCATGAATGTATTGAATACTTCAACACTAGAAGTTTCAATTTAAACACAAAAACTACAAATCCGAAGGGGACTAGTCTAGCAACTATTGAAAATCATTACTACTCCGATTAATGATTCCAGGCTTATAATTCGGTACGCCAGTCGCGTTTTTTCGCACACACAAGACTCATGGTAGGTATTCGAACAATTTGAAAGTCAAATCAAATACGTATTTAAGAGCATTAAAAACTAACAATTCTGAAAATATGTTACAAATATGACCGAGGCAATATGAGCATTGGGTAAAAATCTTAGTGTTTCGATTAATACAACATTTTTTAAAGAGTTGTATTTTTGTAGAAAATGAACATATGAATGATATTTCATGTCAAAACAAAAGTGCTGACTACTGGGCTGATGATAACTTCGGGAACGAAACGTTCACCAGCAGTGGCATCGGCCAAGTACATGTAAACACTCATAAAAGATAACAGACTAATGATTTAGTACTCCAGACTAGCGTTTCGTCTACATAACTCACAAGTGGAGCTCGAATAAAAAAGTTCGAAGCCCAATTAATATTAATAAGTTAAAAGCATTAAAAACAAAAAACTTTGAAAAGTAGGCTTTGGCAATTTATACCTGTGGTAGAAAAACCTTAGTGTTCCGGATCATTGAACATTTTACGAACACTAAGTTTACTGAAAATGAACATTTTAATGATATTTCATATTAACACAGAAGCGCTAACTATAAGGCTTGAGATACCATTTCGGACGAAAAGTCCTTCAGCAGGCGTCGACACAGTGATTATAAAATCCCATAAAAAACCAGGCTTATGATTTTAGTACGCCATATGCCGCCGTGTCGTCTTCATAAGACTCATCACTGGCGCTTGAATCAAAGAGTTGAATTACCAAGACTCCCTAGATTGGGATGAAAATCTGATATATTTCGAAACATTACTCGAATTTGAATTATAGATTTTTTTATCAAATACCGTTATAGGATTTTTTTTTTGCTTGAGAAGCAATTTCTACATGAACAACTACAGTTTTAGTATTAGAAGTATGTTATGCAATTACAGTTGAGAAAAGAATTAAAGACATCTTGTGACAAAACGTAGTTGTAGTTAGATCTGGAAAATAAAGAGTAAAAGAAAATATGTTTTCAACGTTTTCATAATACGCAAAATAAAAACAAGAGGCTCTCAAGAGCCTGAATCGCTCACCTGTATTTCAGAGGAGAAGATTTTTAAATGTTAGCAAACTTGATGAACAAATTGTGTAAAATTGTCTTTAAAGGGCAATAACTCCTTAAGGGGATTAATTGACAATTTTTTTCAAATTAACTTTTTTGTAGATCTTACTTTGCTGAACATTATTGCTGCTTACAGTTTATATATATCTATAATAATATTCCAAATAATAACAAAAAACTGCAAAATTTTGTTAAAACTACCAATTCGGTGGCAGCAACCCAACAATGGCTTGTTCGATTCGTCTGATAATATCAGGGCCGATAGATCTTGACCAATTAAACAAGTTTACCCCATGCCACATTTGCTCTAAAAGATTTAGTTTTTGAGATATAAGCCAAAAACTGCATTTGACCCTTATGTTCTATTTTTAGCCATGGCGGCCATGTTTGTCGATGGATACAAACTTCGGATACAATTTATAAACAAGATACCCTAAGGAACATTTAGTTAAAGTTTGAAGGTAATTGGCCCAGTAGTTTCAGAGGAGAAGATTTTTAAATGTTAGCAAACTTGATGAACAAACTGTGTAAAATTGTCTTTAAAGGGCAATAACTCCTTAAGGGGTCAATTGACAATTATGGTCATATTAACTTTTTTGTAGATCTTACTTTGCTGAACATTATTGCTGCTTACAGTTTATGTATATCTATAATAATATTCAAAATAATAACAAAAAACTGCAAAATTTTGTTAAAACTACCAATTCGGTGGCAGCAACCCAACAATGGGTTGTTCGATTCGTCTGAAAATTTCAGAGCTGATAGATCTTGACCAATTGAACAATTTTATCTCATGTCAGATTTGCTCTAAAAGCTTTAGTTTTTGAGAATAAGCCAAAAACTGCATTTGACCCCTATGTTCTATTTTTAGCCATGGCGGCCATGTTTGTCGATGGATCAAAACTTCGGATACAATTTTTAAACTAGATACCCTAAGGAACATTTAGTTAAAGTTTGAAGGTATTTGGCCAAGTAGTTTCAGAGGAGAAGATTTTTGAAATAGTTTACGACGACAGACGACGACAGACGACGACAGACGACGACGACGACGACGACAGACGACGACAGACGACGATGACGGACGACGACGGACGCCAAGTGATGGCATAAGCTCAAATGGGGCCCTTCGGGCCCCGGTGAGCTAAAAATGAAAACAGTTAGACTTCTAGCTATTTTCTATTAGTGTTTTTTCATGCAGTTCTAGTTTCAAAAGAACAAATTTTCCTCTTTCGTACTAGACAATATGTTCACACATTCAATGTTGAAATACGGGAAAATGTTGATCACCTTAGGGTTAACAATATTAAGCAAACAAATACAAAGGCATCAATTCACAACAACACCAAATTTAAACTTGTACCTACGAATAGCATAGGAAGTCGTCATGATTTGAATTTTTATGTAATATTTTGTTCGTTTAGGCTATTTGATGAGACTGTGTCGTTTTTACCAATTTAATCAATATAATTGATTGATTGATTGTTGGTGTTTAACGCGATTTTAAGCACTATTGGCTATCTCATGGGTCAGCTTTTATTGGTGGAGTAGCCGGAATGTTCGGAGAGAACCACCGACATTTGGCAGAAATAAAAACTGACAAATTTAAAACTTGTAGTCATCATAAGCTGCCAGAGGAAAACGCTTCATTCTTCTCAATCCAATGTGCATTTTGAATATATTTTAATTTAGAAGGTCAGACTCAGAAGTGACGTGCTGTTAGATACGTTGGGAGATGCATATCAAAACGTGGCCAAAAGAATAGTCAAAATTGTGTAAGCTCAACCCTACGTGGGGGAAATTGTATGCATATCTTGAATTTTGAAAAAATAAGAAAACAAAACGTTATTAATTGAACATTTATTAAAATGTGCATGCTTATGCATGGCCGATGACGTGGAAATTTGATTCAAACATGCTATACTATTTGGGATTTAAAGTCCACCTTCATTAACGGTACCGATCCAGTAAAACCGTTTAAGTGCGTCCGGTGATCATTCCCTTTCACTTTGAAATATCTATATTTAAATCGGTTAAATAACTGTTATTCTACAGATAAAAAAACATTGAAGATCATACACACGCGTGTCACAATACTTCAACGCTACTGTGATGTATTTGACAATGGATAATTAAATGTTTAACTATTCATTAATGGTGACAATGAAAATATCTGCCGATTAACTAATGTGAATGATTGACAATGGGATCACGATCCAAGACGAAGACCTTCTTTCAACTAAAAAGAATCGATTTTCCATTTCATTTCATTTTTTACCTTTATTACATACGAATGAATACAATGTACATTTATATACTATATTGAAATAACTCTACATAATCATGTATAGCGAACAAATTAAATTCTCATTTTTTCCCCTATTTATGATACTTGAAAGTAAATCAAAATGCGAATGTGTAGAAATTCATCTTCTTATGAGAAATATTATTTTATATGCACTGAATGTTGCCCTCTATCCCAATGAAGTCGGTTGCCAAAACACCGTCTCAAGCTAATACACTTTCATTATAATGAAATGAAATATCATGTTAATTCGAAGGACTTTTAATTATTTGTTGTTTATTGTTTATTAAACAAAAAATGTTGGTTTTATAAAACAAACAAGAAACAAAGCCTGATATCAGTAAAACGTATTTCCGGTATGGAACGATAATTTGAAGAATACTAGGTAAGTTGACTATGCCTTTTTTCAAATTTAACAAATATAGTTATTCATACTCCTAGATAAAAAAATGTCCTATAGTTCTAAGAATTTTTTTTTCAATACTCATAACATTTTACTTAATAGTAAATAATTACTTTGATAGTTAAGGATTTTATTTTGAATATTAAAATTATGCAGTCCGCTAATAGTATTTGCGAAAGAGAGGCGAAAGATACCAAACGGACATTCAAACTAATAAGTCGAAAATAAACTAACAACGTCATGGGTAAAAAAAGAAAAAGACAAATAGACAAACAACAGTACACAAAACACAACAAAAAAAACTAAAGACTAATCAACACGAGCCCCACTAAATACTGGGGGTGATCTCAGGTGCTCCGAGAGAGTAAGCAGATTATGTAGTTTAGGTATCAAATACAGAAAAGGATGATCAAGTTCTTCATCTTTGGTTGAAATTCCAAAGGAACATAGAACAGACCTATGTATATCCAGGATTTCCTCCTTGGTAAGGTTCGTGGGGGTATATGTTGAGTTTCCAAGTGAATTGTCAATAACTTATTCATTTATCAAGCAGTTTATGTAATGTGATTTACACACAAAAACGATGTTGTTTGATGTTTATCTACGGGGATAACAACATATTTGTCATGGAGGTATGACAGGTGTTTTGCAATGTTTGGGTCTTTAAAATTTGATGTAGCATGAGTATTCATAGACCCATTTAGTTTTTTTTAATTCTGATTTGTACCGAACTCCAAAGAAAATAAATTCATAACGGAAAGTCCCTTGCAAAAGCTCAAACACATCAAACGAATGGAAAACAACTGCCAAATCCCTGACTTGGTACAGGCATTTCCTTATGTAGAAAATGATGAACTAAACCAACCTGGTTTTATAGCAAACTAAACCTCTCATTTGTATGACAGTTGTATAGAATTCTATTATATCGACAACAATGTGTGAGCAAAACAAACAGACATAAAAGGTCATCAGTACATCTAAATTCAACCCAATGGAAAAGGTCAGAATTAAAACAGGGTTTCCAACAAAGGATAGACAGACTGTTATCGGAAGTTACAACAAAAGCATATTTAATATAGAACAACAAAAAAGAACAGCGAGTAACAAGTAATATAAAGAAAATATCATTTTGGCAACTACGGTATATACTTTCTCACCAATAAACTGAGAATTTGGTGTTGGTATGGTAATCTATGCTCAATTTATCTACGAATCTTCTAGACTCACTTTACATCTTCATACATGGAAAGTCCCTTGATTATAATTGTCAGAGAATTTTCGTTGATTTTCTGATGTCCTTTGTTTCTAGTTTTTATGTTTCTGCGTTAAGGGGTGGAGAGAGTACGCAAATGAGACACAACAATCAAACGATACAAAAAATCAAAAGACATTTTGAGGTCAGAGCACTAATTCAATAATAGACACTGTATGTAAAGGGTTTATCTTTAAAATATGTCAAGCTCTAAATCGTCTCGAGTATAAAAAGATGCGGACAAATCAAACAGAATATATCAAATATCTTCCATCAACACCAAATTCTGAAATAATAAAATATTTAAGGTTTATATAAAAAGATAACTCGTGAAGTTCCGGAGAGGAGAAATACGCATGAATATGTGCTCGGGTTTAACTATTTTTTTTTTCTATATTTCAACCCTATTTGCTAAAAAAGAAACAGAACAAAACATATGATAAAACTCATTACAAGGGAAGCGTTTAATTGCAAAAGAATGTTTCAAGAAAAAGAAACATTTTAACACTCACAATCAAAACTATATTAAAAGAAATTATACTGTATCAAAGAATGCTCGCAGTAATCAAATGCAGGCTCAAAGGACTTAACCTTCTAATAAGAAATAAATCCTCTAGATATCGGTGGCTGTACTTCATAATATTACTGTAATTCACAATACTACTGTACTTCACAATATTACTGTACTTCACAATACTATTGTACTTCATAATACTACTGTACTTCACAATACTACTGTACTTCACAATACTATTGTACTTCACAATACTACTGTTCTTCATAATACTACTGTACTTCACAATACTACATACTACTGTACTTCATAATACTACTGTACTTCACAATACTACATACTACTGTACTTCATAATACTACTGTACTTTACAATACTACTGTACTTCATAATACTACTGTACTTCACAATACTACTGTACTTCACAATACTACTGTACTTCACAATACTACTGTACTTCACAATACTCCTAATTTCATACGGCAACGTTACGAACTGTACAGGAAGAAACGGTATAATGGAATGCAACGTCCAAAACTAGCTGTTCATGATTCCAATGTAGATACAAAAGAAACATTTTAGTCTTGTTTCGAACTATAAATAGGGGTACTGGTGTTTATGCCCCCTGTTAAAAGCAGACAAGTAACTGTACAAGAGCATTATCACAATTTTAAATCATTGAGTGTTTTTTTTAAACTGTTCCGTTGTTGTAAATTCCTCATCTCTTAACTTTTTAGATATGCATATAAAGGTACGGTCTTTAATAACAGAAAAGATGCCTTTACTATATAACAATTTATCAATAATACCAAAATAAGCTGTGCAGAGGTAAAACAGAGACTACCAAGTCCGTGTATAATTTATTCATTTTAATCGATTGAGAGCTTGGCATATTATATAGACGCTTGTCAATTATTGAAGACTATAATGTTGTTCTTTATGTCGTTTTGCTACTTTTGTTGTTTAATTAATTAAATGGTTAAAACACATAGCTACCGAACATGCACATTAAAGGGGCATTATATGTCCAATTCATGTTCGCCAATTTCACTCAAATTCTCATATTTGATTTATAACATACTAAAACGTATATCCAAATTACAAAAAGTCTAAAATAAACAATTCACAATGCATGGACTCGATAATATGTATCAACATTTTGTTGTGTATTTTTGTCCAGACGACATCTAATTAACCACCGAGATGACCTCCGAAGACTGCCGACGGTCATATAACCCGATATAAACATAAATATAAATATAAATAGATAGCGACCTCGTGCAATTGGATTTTTCTAGGTCTGTTTGATTTCATATTGTAGGTTAAAAAGTATGTTTATCATCGTTTTTACCTGTATAAGAATGATTTTTTTGTTGATCGAATCGGTCAACCAAACGGTTCATCCTTGTTTCACCTTTAATGATGACATTTTTCTCTTTTCATTAGCTGAATACATGCGTAACCCATCTCCATGTAAGGGGTTAAATTGAAGGTCACATGAATACGGATTCAATAAGTTCGAATTATTCACTTGCAAGTAAAAAATTCAGTAGCGATGTTTCTTAGTGTATTTACAAAATTGAACCAAACTGGCTGCTAAAAGCGAATTATTATTTCACTATTTCACTTTTATTAATCATTGAACAAAAAAAAATCATATTCTATTTTCTTTTATAGTTCGTAGCTCATGCCCCTTTAACATGTGACATGTTTTAACGATTGCGAGAACTCTCTTCCTGTGTTATTATTTCAATCACCAAAGAACTCAATAACATATATGTTATAGAAGGCTGCTTTCTTGTATGGTATTTGCTTGAAACAAAATCACACTTTATAGGTTGCAGTTACATATTTCATACGTGATTTGAATGTCAGTTGTTTTCTTTATATTTCTATTTAATCTTCAACATTTTCATCAGAATCTAAAACTAAAACAGAAGATGATACGCTTATCTTAAGCACAACTTATTAAGAAGAATGGGCTGTAAGCAGTCAAAGGTTGATGACAATGAGAAAGCTGTGGAATATGTGGATTATGTGAGTAAAACATGTAATATCAAAAAATATTATTAATCGAATATTTTTAAGGATTTGTGATTCATTAAAACTTGATCACATGTACATTTATATTTACTCAGTTTGCACGCCAATACTGTTGTTTAGCTTTTCGTAGGTCTAAAACAGTATATTGCACAGGGCATACAGCACGTTACTAAAAATACATTCTAGAAATCCCCAATTTTACATTGTTCATGCAATAGTTGTTGAGTAATGATATAACAATTGTAGCCTTTGGTTGAGGTCACTACGATGTTATATCGACCTAGAGAAGCATATCGTCCTCGGACGTCGTCCTCCAGTCAGTCAATATGCTTCTCTTAGGTTGATATAACCTCGTATCGACCTCATACAAAGGCTATAATTGTATAACGTTTTAAGTTATCTGTCTTCAATTGTAAATACATCATTTTCAAATAATTGCATACTAGCGTTCAATTAATTATATTAATCAATGTCTTTTTTCATTCTGTTTGGCCAATGCAAGATGTGTTATATATATATGATATACAATGATGAACAATCAAACGGTTTTCTTTTTAATTCGCGCGTTTTTTGTTTTGTGTTTTTGTTTTTTGTTTTTGTTTTTTGTTTTTGTTTGTTTTTGGTATGAAATCAAGTAATAAAACCGTTGCTCCTATAACGATTAATTTTCTTAATACTAGTAATGCAATTAGTTATCGTCTCAAATTCATTGAGCCAATAGCCTCTAGACCAGCAGAATAGGAGGTACAATTTTCATAGATCAAATATCTTTTATGGAAGCCGAAAAGTCCGAGGTAATAATTATCGCATGTTCATCGTCTTTTGATAGTTTTGATTAAGGTTACTTTGTTTTCAATCTTTTACAGTGTTGAATTCTGATTTTTCTGAAAAATGGGCGTGTCGTTCAGTGGTAGAAAATCAAAAGTTGTCAATCAATGCACTTCTGATTTGGATATTTTCAAACATACAGATGAACGTGTATCTGATTTGGTGGTTTACGATCTTGAGGAAGAAAATGAAACAGATAACTTCGCGGATCATGTAAATATATATATTTCTACATTTTAATTCAAGCCTTACACTTAAATAATGAAACAAATGTCCATCATTAATTAATTGATTGTCGCATGTAGAACAAGATCTGCTAGCCCTTCCGGAGCACCTGAGACCACTCCCGGTTTTTGGAGGGGTTCGTGTTACTCAGTCTTTGGGTTTTTATGTTGTGTTTTGAATCTGTCGTTTGTCTTTTTGGTAGTTTTTAGATTTTTGCCGTGGCATTGTCACTTTGTTTCGACTAATTCGTTTGAATATCCCTTTGGTTTATTGCGCCTCTCTTTTTATTCTAATAAACAATACTGAATAGAAATTTCCTATAGCTATCATTAATTTGTATTGCAGAAAGACGTAGTCGAATGTCCACCAAGGTATCCGACAGCATTAGCGCCTACAGCTAGAAGAAAGGATGTATCATATAACGAAAAATACAAGGAAGCAACAGAGAGAGTTCAAACGGTTATTTCAATTTTAACTTTTCAGTTGTAGATAAGTCGAAAAGTGTACGCAAAGGGGCACTTTGAAACGAAATGAGACGTAAATTACAAGTCCAAAGAAATGGTTTAAAAGAAGAAAAACTTTGTTATGTTTAATTGTTTTTTGTATTTAGAAAAAACCCTTTCAAGTAAGAGAAAACAGGTAAAAGGAAACTCTTAAATATAAAAATAAGGAGATGTGGTATGATTGCCAATGAGACAAATATCCACCAGAGTTCAAATAAAGTGGATATAAGCAATTATAGGCAACCGTACGGCCTTCAACAATGAGAAAAACCCATACCGTATAGTCGTCTATAAAAGGCCCCGACATGAAAAATGTGAAACAATTCAATTGAGAAAACTAACGGCCTAATTTATAATTATAACAAAACAATTTACGAAAAACAAATATGACAGACGTGAACCAACGACAACCACTGTACTACAGGTAAAACATGTTTTCACCATAAAACATTTTGTCAACAACTATTAACAACTTTGAATTCTATGATCATTTCTTTATAAAACGTTACCTCATTGGTGTATTGCAGGTTCCCAATTCTGCTTTGGGAGATTATTCTATTCTGTTGAGACATTTGGTAGACGACGTCAGGTCAGATTTAGAAAAAGTATGGACACTTTATCTTTGGGTTGTTAGTCATGACTTCAGCGATCATTCGCACGGTAAATACCCTGCTGGAGATACACCAAAGGGATATCTTAGATGGATTCATGACGGAGAAGGGGATATTGCATCCTTCTTTGCTATTTTATGCAGGTAATCGGCACAAAATACATTTTTTTCTACGTCTTAAGTTACAATACACGTAAAACCCAGGTCAGATAGTAATCATGTAATAATGATTGTGTATAGAAAAACTAACACTGACATTAACAAAAGCATATTGTATACAGAAGACGGGACTGTTGATATCGTATCAATCAAGTCACATGTAGATTTCGTCGTTAATACATACATATAGTTTTTTTAATATCATCAATAAAGATTAAGAACATTATTTATGCTTAATTTTCAATGTTACAAAAAAAAAAGAATATAGCATAAGAAGTTACCAAAATTCATCAGAAAAAAAGAAACAAGAATACTAGTAGTCCGCCATACTTAAAACATTTGTCTAAAGACACTTTAACGCTGACCTTTTTATTCATGGAATGAATTCGTTCTCCGGAGAGGTAACCTGTGGAACAAGGCCAGGCTAATCCCATGTGTCTAGTAATAAGTCGTATTAAAGGTTTTAACACATTTTCTAGGACTGTTGATGTGATAATTGGGTCGATTAACTCACAAATGGAATACAAGTCTGAAAGACATTTTTGTAAAATTTGTAAGTCAGCGGCCTAGATTACACACCAATGACCTTAAAAAAAATGCGTTAAATCCTTATGATTCTGAACCCAAACTTTTTCAATTTCAACTTTCTTGAAACCCAAGATTACAATTCATTCGTAGGGCGCTTGAATATATCACAGTTAAATCGACATATTGTTTACATAGGTACGAAAGTAGTTTTGGTCAGATGGTCTATCGAAGCTAAATCAAAACCATGAAAAAATTTTCAACGGACGTATACGCAAGAATTATTAAGTTATTTATAACGACGTAAAGACAGAACGGGTTGTGACTCCGACAAATATCAAATACGTGGTCTTAGTGACACATATCCGAACGGTCAACAAAATCAAGATTGCGGTCGTAAAATATTCGAACATGTGACTTCATTAATACTACTAGGAAAAATTTGTACTGTTGCAATTACCATTTATAAAGGCCAATCTTATCGGAATCACAATCTTGGGAATATCATACTAAATAAAAGATATAAATATATACACCATATACTAGGGCTGCTCGAATGTTTTCAAAGGCATGTGCTGTCAAATCTTTACACCTACACTTTTGTAATATAACCCATTTTCAGTTACACACCCTTGCAATTGATGTTGTGTTTGATATTTTCAATCAATATATACAGTATATTGTCATATAATATTCAGGCTAGTGTTTCTATTTCAGACGTGCAGGTATAAAATGTGTGATAATTGATGGTATAAGTAAAGGAGGAGACTACGAAGTAGGACTGTCGGAACAAGAACTGGAGAAAATGAGAGATCGGTGGAATGCTGTGTACATAGATAGAAACTGGAGATTTGTTCATCCCTCTTGGGGATCAAAGGCATCTGACAAGGTATGATAAAACTGTATTAAGCTTTTGTAATCATAAGTGCAATTTTGATTTGAAAAAAGACATAAAAAAAAATTTGAACAAACGTTTTTTGTTTGTAGACACATTGTCAACAAGTTATTTTGTTTGCATGATAGGATTTTTTTGTTCCAATTAACTGTCGCATTAAGGAGAAATCTGATGATAATGAAAAATAAATGCTTTTAAATTTTACATATTTGTAGTTCATCTGACCCAAAGGATCTAGTAACCTATTCTCATCACTTGGCGTCATTCATTCTTCGTCGTCGCCTATCGGCTGTCGTCCGTTAACTTTTACAAAATTGTTCTCCTCTTAAACTACTGGGCGAATAAAATCAAACTCGGCCACAATCATTATTGGGGTATCTAGTTAAAAGGTATATGTCACCGCTTGCGAACCAACATGGCCGCCCATGTTTAGAATAGGAAGTAGGGGTAAAATGCAAGATTTGTTTTTGCGATTTGCTTACAATCTTGAAAACTATAATAGTTACAGAGAAACTTTTATTTTGCAAACATGATTTGGAGGACAGGATGTACAAATTTGTTAAGGTTGAAATCGTTGGTTGACACCTTATAGGACTATTTATTTCCCTTAAATGACGATTTTATAACATTTTTTGGGGGGCATTTTTAGCCAAAAATATAGTAGATAAAGAAAAACTGAAACAGCAATAATGATCAGCAAGCCAAGATAAAACGGAAATTGTAAGTCGACTCCTTATATGAGTTATTGCTCTAAGATGATGATTTCTACACATTTTTGACGAAAACTATAGTAGATAAAGGAATCTGTAAACGACAAAAATGATCACAAAGACAAGATCTTCAAATCGGTCGACAAAACCGAAATTGTAAGTCATTTTCTTATAGAAGAAATTTTCCTTAAATGACGATGTTTACCCATTTTATTGGCAAACATTATAACAGATAGAGAGAAACTGAAACAGAAAAAAAAATCAGCAATACAAATTTAACATAAAGCGATCTTAGTCATTAACTATATTTTAGTCCTCAATGTTTAAACTCAAATAGATCGAGGTGCTTTAATTCTTTGTAAACAATCAATATTTACAGTTTAAATCCTGTAAATGCGTTTTGCATGCAATAATTTAATAACTTCAGTAATATGTCAATTATTTTTTTAATACCAGAAAGATTGACTGACCAGTTGTTACTTGCAAACGTTAAGTTGAAATATTTCATGTACATTCAGGATGAGAACAAATAAACAATCAATTCTAAATGTAGGTTGACCAGGAAATTTGACTGCCTCTGGAAAATGAGAGTATGTTGGATAAGGGAGGATGTTTCGCCTTGTAACGGACCGCCTACGAACCTCTCAGAAAGTTGTTTCAGGGGTTTTTTACCATGCGTAGTGATGACATTCTCCCTACACAGGGCAATAGATTTAACGTCCAAATTCCGACCGGGCGGGTGCGTATCTATACATTCCACACAGTCAAACTGACGCCCCACTTAGGCAAGAGTTTTACTTCCTGACGACTGTTTACCATGTTTCTATACCACAGTCAGATATTTTAACGGACTAATACTATTAGTTATAGTCCTAAGAGTGACAACCCACTTGCAGTCGTTTTTATTTTAATTGTTTTAAAAATAGCCTTATATAGCTTACACAAATTTGCAGTATAAAAAAGTAAGGAGATGTGGTATGATTGTCCTTGAGACAACTATCCACTACAGCTCAAATGAAGTGGATAAATATTTGTTTTTGAAAAAAAGCTAAATTTATCTTATTTCTGTAAAGACGACACTTTTTATGTGTCTGTTGTTGAAATTTCTCAGGTTTTTCAAATATCGGTTTTGATTGGTCGTAAAGACTAGTTATATAGTCCAAAAACTAAAAAGATTATTACTTTTTTTGTTTAACAATATTATATTGTATATTTCATTCATTCAATACTTTTATTTGTTTTAGATTCGAAATTATTTTTTCTTGCCCGAACCAGAAGAATTTAACACATGGTGTCGCCCTGATGACAGACAGTGGCAACTCCTGACGACAATGGTTACTATGTCGGAGTTTACATCTTTCCCATACTGTACAGCGGAATTTTTCATGATGAATATGAAAGTCCTATCCCCTAAAACTGGAAAGGTTCGAGCCAGAAACGGACATGTTTTTGTTGAAATTGCTACTACACGAAATATAGGGAAAACCGTTGTAGTCAAGTATAACTTGGTCGGAAAGAAACTACTCAAACCTAGGGTAGGAATGAACGGGCATGCAGGAGGGGAGTCAACACAAAGGGGGATGATTCCTAAAGAAGGGGTAAACGGGTATGCAGGTGGGGAGTCAACACACAGGGGATTAATTACGAGCAGACTTCATGAGATTGAGCAGGAAGGTGAAGAAAAAAACGATGAAATCTCAACTCCTTCTGCATTTCCAACTGACCTCGACACATTTGTGTTTATGTGGAGAAAAGACGCTCATTTTATGTTTAATATTCAGCTACCAGTATCAGGTGTATACCTTTTCTCTGTGGAAGCAGGGCATATCAATTCTGATTATTCTGTGTCAGAAATGGTGATAGTTGCAGAAATAAAAATATATTGTTTTGATAATGTTCACGAGGAAGACATTGACATGTTCCCTGACGTACCTGAGATTGGATGGGGCGTTACTCCACACTGCTTGGTACGAGGTATTCGTCCTATTTCACATGTAGATGGGGAAGTATTTGTTCTCCCAGATGCTGATACGACTATTAGGTTTGAACTTGATCACGAATACGAGTTTGATGTTGAAATGATTGGTGAAAATTTTGCAGATGATTTACAGCAATACGTCAGTCATAATGTTCATAATAATCTATTGACTATCAAAGTTCGAATCCCTGGAGAAGGACACTATGGACTGAAAATCCACGCAAAGGGTGATAATGACGTGGACTTCGTCAACGTGTGCAATTATTTTCTGGTTTTCAACAAGATATCATCCAACATTGAGGTAATATCATTTCCTTAATTCAGTAAAAATATAGTCTAAGAGTTAAAAACACTGGTAAGTAGATGAAAAAAAAGGGATAAAGAGGATACATTGTGGAGGCTGAGCGTTTCAGTTATAAGGTACCATAAAAAAATGAACAAAGCCATAAAAAATTTTAACAAAATTTTTATTTGGCAAAAAATAACAACAAACAACAAAAGCAAACACCGAAAAACGATTGGTATATTGTAAATATGCAATCAAAGTACTGAAGTACTGAACATCGGATGACTGCAAGTTCTTGTGGATGGTCACAAGCACTTGTCTCAGAAAAAAAATCACATCTCTATTCCTGAAAGTGAGGTTAATGTACAGATATATATTTTTTTTCTTAGACAAGTTCGTGCGTGGATGATAAATAAATGACAGGGAATTCAACCTCACCGTAATAAATATGATATTGAAGTGATTCAAATCAGTATACTCTGGTTTGTTGTTATATATTATATTAATATTTGTATATTACAGTTAGATGTATATTTAATTTTCATCCATTTGTATATATTCTATTCTACTATATTAATAATAGTGCAGTGCAAGTGCATGGTGGACACTCTTCTGTAATAATTCTATTTTTCTAATAGATTGGATTTGAGATGGCATTCATATTTTCCCGCCAAACTTTCAATCTCCCATGCAGAGTTATCGGTCCTTGAGAGAGAGCGAGGACCGATAACTCTGCATGGGAGATTGCAAACGTTCTTGAGATATTCTTCCGCATGCGTTAACACACATTTTCTGTACGTGTGCATAGATATTAAAGATTTTTAACTTATATATATATTTCTAACGACAAAACATTATCATATTATTAATTTATGTTCTAAAAAAAATATTTTTAGGATTATCCATTGAAAAAATGAATTTATAACAAGCGATAAGGAATGTTATTTTGCACTCGATAATGTCCGCGTATTTATCATGTTTATAGATCGGTTACAATCCCAACACCAAAGTTACATAATGGAAATCTAGCCGACAGCAATACACTGGAATGCCCTCACGGTCATCCGATGTAAAAATACAAATTCGGTAATCCAAGTTTGATTTATAGATTATGGTTGAGATGACCAATGATAATCTGTTTATCGCTATTTTACCTATGACGACGTTGTCAATTTCATGTCAATTTCATTAGCAACGGCACGTGCCCCCTTAGTTTCTAGCGATAACTTTCATATCACTCGACTCCGTTGAGAAAGGAAATTATCAGTCAGTAAGATCAAAGGAAATTTTCGTAAAATAGCGATAATATTGATTATTACAAAACGACTTCAAATTGAAACATGAAATGTGAGCTGTGTTCACAAAATCATACCGCCAATCTCGACTGGCATAGATTAGGTACGTTAGTGAAAGGTACACTATGGCGACACGTTAAATCGATCTAGTCAGAAGTTCAGGAGTATGTTTGAATTGAAGATGGCTATTTCTTTAGTAGATATATAAAAAAATCCATGCAGAAACTTCAAAACCATAATGTGGACAGACGAAAACTTATAGACATAACCATATCACTAAAAACCCATCTTTACTTAGTCCGTGATCGGCATGACGTCTGACGGCCTTTTTTTTAACTGACTTTGACTATCGGACGTCAAAGTGAAGTCTACATAGAAACAATTGGGGCGGCTAGTTCCTTTTTCAAAATCGTAATAGATCCATTTGCATGCACTTAAATTATACATCATTCGATGCCTTATTAATTTTACTCCACGAATATGTGATACTTGTCCTAACGCTGTGACCCGAGTTAATTGTTATAAAAGCATATCTGCATTAAAGGTTGTTTAGGTTAAAAAAAAAAGAGGGAAAAAAGAAGACTTTAAAAGATAAAGGCATATATAAAACCTGCAAAAATCGTTTGCAATATTTAGCATATGTCGTATTTTTTTTTTTGTAAATGTAGAAATTTCCTAAACGGATGATAAGAGAAAAATTGGAAAGAGCAACTGAGGGTGATACCAGGCATGGATTAAAGGAAGCGTTAGATGACTTTATACTACACAATGTACCTGACCGAGGGGAAGTTAAGAAAGCTAAAGACAAAATAGGTTTCTTCGATGATAAAAAAGGTTTGTTCTAGTTTTTTTTAACTATGAAACATCTGCCAAAGAGTTGAAAGAGTCATTCATATCTAAAATATATTTCGGTAAAATACAGTAACCATACAAAAAAAAAACAGAGGACAATTATATTTTGACTTCAACAAAAGGCAACAAACGTATGTAAATGTGTGTGTTTAAAATTTATGTTGATTCACTATGAATAATGCCATGGGATTATTAGTTGCCCCCTCCCTGTGAATAATGCCATGGGATTATTAGTTTCCCCCTCACTGTGAATTATGCAATGGGATTATTAGTTGTCCCCTCCCTGTGAATCATGCCATGGGTTTATTAGTTGCCCCCTCACCGTGAATAATGTAATGGGATTATTAGTTGCCCCTCACTGTGAATTATGCCATGGGATTATTAGTTGCCCTCTCACTATGAATAATGCCATGGGATTATTAGTTATCCCCTCACTGTGAATTATGCCATGGGATTATTAGTTGTCCCTCCCTGTGAATTATGTCATTGGATTATTAGTTGCCCCCTCACTGTGAATAATGCAATAGGATTATTAGTTGCCTCTTCACTGTGAATAACGTCATGGGATTATTAGTTGTCCCTCCCTGTGAATTATGTCATTGGATTATTAGTTGCCACCTCATTGTGAATAATGCAATGGGATTATTAGTTGCCTCCTCACTGTGAGTAATGTCATGGGATTATTAGTTGATCCCTCACTGTGAATTATGCCATGGGATTATTAGTTGCCTCTTCACTGTGAAGTATGCCATGGAATTATTAGTTACCCCCTCACTGTGAATAATGTAATGGGATTATTAGTTGCCTCCTCACTGTGAATTATGCTATGGTATTATTAGTTGCCTCCTCACTGTGAAGTATTCCATGGAATTATTAGTTGCCCCCTCACTGTGAATAATGTAATGGGATTACTAGTTGCCCCCTCACTGTGAATAATGCAATGGGATTATTAGTTGCCCCTCACTGTGAATTATGCCATGAGATTATTAGTTGTCCCTACCTGTGAATAATGCCATGGGATTATTAGTTGCCTCATCACTGTGGATTATGCAATGGGATTATTAGTTGTCTCTACCTGTGAATAATGCCATGAGATTATCAGTTGCCTCATCACTGTGAATTATGAAATGGGATTATTAGTTGTCCCCTCCCTGTGAATTATGCCATTGGATTATTAGTTGCTCCCTCACTGTGAATAATACAATGGGATTATTAGTTGCCCCCTCACTGTGAATTATGTCATGGGATTATAAGTTGCCACCACACTGAATAATGCAATGGGATTATTAGTTGCCCCCTCACTGTGAATAATGCCATGGGATTATTAGTTGTCCCTCTCTGTGAATTATGTCATGGGATTATTAGTTGCCCCCTCACTGTGAATAATGCAATGGGATTATTAGTTGCCTCATCACTGTTGATTATGCAATGGGATTATTAGTTGTCCCTACCTATGAATAATGCCATGGGATTATTAGTTGCCTCATCACTGTGGATTATGCAATGGGATTATTAGTTGTCTCTACCTGTGAATAATGCCATGGGATTATCAGTTGCCTCATCACTGTGAATTATGAAATGGGATTATTAGTTGTCCCCTCCCTGTGAATTATGCCATTGGATTATTAGTTGCTCCCTCACTGTGAATAATACAATGGGATTATTAGTTGCCCCCTCACTGTGAATTATGTCATGGGATTATAAGTTGCCACCACACTGAATAATGCAATGGGATTACTAGTTGCCCCCTCACTGTGAATAATGCAATGGGATTATTAGTTGCCCCTCACTGTGAATTATGCCATGAGATTATTAGTTGTCCCTACCTGTGAATAATGCCATGGGATTATTAGTTGCCTCATCACTGTGGATTATGCAATGGGATTATTAGTTGTCTCTACCTGTGAATAATGCCATGGGATTATCAGTTGCCTCATCACTGTGAATTATGAAATGGGATTATTAGTTGTCCCCTCCCTGTGAATTATGCCATTGGATTATTAGTTGCTCCCTCACTGTGAATAATACAATGGGATTATTAGTTGCCCCCTCACTGTGAATTATGTCATGGGATTATAAGTTGCCACCACACTGAATAATGCAATGGGATTATTAGTTGCCCCCTCACTGTGAATAATGCCATGGGATTATTAGTTGTCCCTCTCTGTGAATTATGTCATGGGATTATTAGTTGCCCCCTCACTGTGAATAATGCAATGGGATTATTAGTTGCCCCCTCACTGTGCACTGTGAGTAATTCAACGAGATTAAATGCATCCTAACTTGTTAAATGTAAATATAACTTTGCCATCATATAAAGAAAATTCGTGAATTTATCAACCAGTACATGAGAATCTGTTATTCTGAAAGAGAAAGAACTGCATTCAGAATAATATACCATCTTCTGTATGATTTATCTAAACAGAAATTTGTTAGGTTGACCCTTTCGTAGTCAACAGTGAAGTTACAAATGTATCGCGGAAAATTGTTTTGACAATATATACACTTTCATTCTATCATAATAATTAACGTAAATTATTTCTTTTTAACATTTAAGTCATATTTTCATTGAATATTAACAGCATTAAGTGATGCCATCAAAAGGAAAAATCCCAAATTCCTACAGAAATCGATACAAGACGCCAAAAAGTCTAAATTTACTGAAGAACTAGAAGATGACATAAAACGAGCAGAGCTAATGTTAGCTAGATTGAATAGAATGGAAGGTTATCTACATCCTATCGCAAAGTTGCAGAATTCAACCTTGGCAGAAATACGGTGCTATACATGGCCACCTGAAGTGGTTAGAAATGTACTCGCGGCAGTATATGTATTGTTAGGAGAGGATTATGAATACCTTCAGGTAATAACTACGCTGTCATGATGTTATCTGCGCACCCTCAAAGTCTGTGCTTTGCATTGTATGTCAAAACAGTAGATGCTCAGACTTCCAATACTTAAGAGAGGCAAAGGATACCAAAGGGACATTCAAACTCACAAGTCGAAAATAAACTTACAACGCCATGGCTAACAAAGAAAAGACAAATAGATAAACAATAGTACACAAAACACAACATAGAAAACCAAATGCTCAACAACACGAACACCACCAAAAACTGAGGGTGATCTCAGGTGCTCCGGAATGATAAGCAGATCCTGCTCCTCATATGGCACCCGTCGTGTTTGCAAGTGTTTGCAAAAAAAGAATCTGTCCATTAAGTTTTCAATGCAATGTTTTTAAATGTTGTGGTAGATCAGTAACATTATTCAACGAGTGAACATATTTTGTACTCTATTGAGAGTGGAAAGTATACTCCATGGTCGCCTTAGGTTCATATACAATTTATCAGTGTGAATTTTATAAGAAATTACTGAAACTTTAGGTAGGAAATGTGTCTTTGGATTAACATTGAGTAATACTAAAAGCATCACAAAATAACCTATGTAAAACCAACCAGATTATGAAAAATGCCATTTTTGCTTGAACGAGATGAATTCTAGTTTTGGTTTCTTTAAACTGAAATTAATAATTCTTAATCAGTAGAAATACATCTGTAACAAAGGTTACAATGTAAGCTAAGATGGTTACATCTAATAATGAGACGAAACATTATACAATGATATAGTATTCTTTTATATCACTTTTTGGTCATGTAGCTCCAAACATTTCTACGTACATTTGTATTAATACATCCCTGGCTTTCAAATGTTAAGATTTGAACGGTCCTGATGAATGTTAACCAGAAAAACGCTTTGGACACATGCAATTTATAAAATATTTATTTTCATTTACATCTTACACAGCAAAGCACTAACACATTTATCATTCAACTTGTATTTGATCCGGTTGCTTTATGTCACCATATCTTATGTATATTTTACAGGATTGGGATTATATTCAAAGCTTACTGGCCAAAGTTGGAAAAGAGGGTTTGAAAAATAAAGTTTTAAATCTTGATATGGAGACTGTTCCCCAGCGGCAAGTAGATTTGGCTGATATTATTATTGATCCACACAAGCTAGATGAGGCACGAGAGGCCAGTACTGGAACGGCAGCATTGTATCAGTGGGTAAGCAATGAGATATACAAACAATTATAGCTTTGCATGATACAAAAATACTGATTTTTATTCAGGAAAAATACGAGTATTTCAATGGAAGGTCAACTAAAACTACAAAAAAATACTTATTCCATAAAAAAAATGATTTGTGAAATGATTTATAAAAACAGACTTGTTTATAGTATAGTTTATAGCTTAAGCACTGTTCCAGTTACAATGTGTGTCCCTTGTTGCAAATATTTGCACTTGAATTATATTTGTTTGGTATTCAGAATGTCTTTTTAAACAATATACTTAATATCAGGAGTAATTTTGGAAGAGAAAACTACGACAAATGTTAAAATAAAGTTTGTACATGCAAACAAACTCACTCTTGTGGAGAGTTGTCTCATTGGCAATCATACCACATCTTCTTTTTTTATATTTACGTTAAATCGGTTTATATTTTTGTCTGTTTTACAATAAACTTCTAAAAAAAATTGAACTCGAATTTTTAAATTGATCTCAAACTTAACAAATCTAAATTATAGTTAGTATGAACAACTAGTGCTTCTGATTTTGGAAACATATACAGGAACACATAAATAGTAAATTAAGAATCATATGCTAAAATTAAATGTTAATCAAATAGAATCAAGCTAAGAAATGGAAAGTTTACTACTCTAATCTAAACTTTCCAACAAAGGCATAGATATCGACACAAAATAACTATATTGTATTTTAAAACAGGTGAATAATATTTGTACAGAGAAGAAAAGCCAACAGGCATCTGTTAATTCAAGTAGTAATAAGGACAACACGCAAAGAAAATTAAAAGTAAAATATCCACAGAAGGAAAATGGTAAAGCTGGGCATTATGAAAGCGGAAAGTTTGGACAATATGGTTCTATGAAAGGAAGGCAGTACGAAGTATCATCAGGCGGGCAAAACGGCAAGGTTAAAGTTAATAGCCTCGTTAAAGGAAAAGGAGGACAGTATGATAACAGACATGACACAAACAGAAAATCCAACGACCGAAAGGATTCAAAACAAGCGCACGAAACAAACATATCACCACAGCATCGATTTTCGAAGCCGGACAAGAAAACTAATAATATCCTTGGAATGATTATTATAGACGAAAGGTCATCATCTAAATCAAAATCACCAAACAGCAAGGGATCACCAACACATAAGTCACCATCATCAAAGAATGCTTCGCCAATGCAGAAAAACTTATCACCAGCGCAGAGGTCGCCAGCCAGTAAAAACATATCGCCAGCTAGTAAAAATGTTTCCCCAGCCAGTAAAAATGTTTCCCCAGCACACAGATCTCCTGCCAATAAATATGTATCACCAACACAAAAATCGCCTTCAAACAAATCACCAAATCAGAAATCGCCATCCCAAAAATCACTAGCGGAAAAATCGCCAGCGGAAAAATCACAAGGTAATCGATTCCATGTGATAAAGTCGGACTCTCAGAAATCACCACCTATTGTACCATCAGATTCACCACCTCATCGATCACCTCTACAAAGACCTCCTTATGATGAAGTCCTCACGCCAGTTGGATTATCTCCAGTACCTCAGTCGGATGAAGAAACTTTTAAAAACTTTTCGCCGATTTCGCCAGAAGAGAAATAAAAGCTAAACTTTAGAATGTTTGAAACTCTACATTAAAGTACACGCAGCAAAGAAAAAAATCAAACTTTAATTCGTATACATAAAAAAAAACCAGCATTGTAAAGTTCTCAATGTTGGAGGTCCCAATTGGTCATGAAGAGCTTCACTTGCCGTTTTCATAAGGTTGTAACATATAGCTTATCTTTTCTTGCCGTTCGTATCAAACTATAATATGAAACAGATGCCCTGAAACACGATAACAAATTTGTTTCTAATGGACCAAGATTACTGTACTGATTACTGTTTATACATATATATATATTTGAAATGTACCATCTCATCTCATAGTTGTTTCATTGCCCTACAACATTAGCCCAACTGGCTCTTATTGAACTTGACCTCTAGGTCAATGAAACCAAACTGGGCCTGCATCATTCTAATGGATTTACTTTAAATGCATGCAAGTCCGATTTACCCGTCGTCAACACGTAAGCTATTTATATGTGTATCACATAAAATACTATAAAAAAAAATTAAGCATGCAAACACTTGATAAATGGTGTCACGTTACAAATACCAATAAACATAAAGGAAATAATATATTTGTGATCTCTTTTGATAATTTAGAATTTTACCACCCGTGAAAATGTGTTCCAAATTTTATAAAAAGAGAGAATATACCAAGGGAGGCAATAGAAAATCATAAGTCCAATGAATTAAGGCGATAGTAGTTTGTCGATGTTCAAATCTCGTAAAATCGATTAAGAAGAGAGAAGTCAATGTAACAAAGAAAAATCAAGGGAATCGCATGAACTCCAAAAGAAGCGAAATCAATCGTAAAAATTGACGGAAAGACAACAATTGTAACAAAATATAACACAGAAAATAAAAAATTGAGTACTATGAACCGCACGACTAATAACATAGAAAACGTGGACCCAAAACTAAAGAAAAAAAATCGAAAAATTATTTCACGGACCAAATGCTACAAAATTTTGTAAGACAATACTTTTACGATTGGTCTTTTTGATACTGGTCCCATTCAAATTCAAACACGGCTAACTTTGTAATTGAAACTGGAAAACAAAATGTTCCAGTAAATTCAAAAGCACTAAAAAAATCTTGTTTATCTGACATCACATTTAAACAAAATGTGCACAGTATACTGTAATAGTATATTTGTAATATTTTTTCAGAGATAAGTGCCTGTAAAAATGTGGTAGGCATCATGTCCGATGACCTATTCGTTAAGCCAACATGACCGCAGTGGCTTAGATTAGCACATACAATGTAAATATTAGATAAAATAAAATGGTCAACGTATTAACATTAAGGTGTTTTAAGCGACCAAGATTGCAGCACGGATTCCTAAAAAAATTAAAACCTAATTCCTTTTCTCATTCTTGTCTTTTACAAAACATAATTAATAAAGGTGATATGGAAGATGATTAACCATGTTAAAGTAAAATTTGAACACACCAGACAGATCCAAGACAAACGAACGGGCATAAAAAAAAACTTTATCTCTTCCAACAAAACAGGAATGAAATCCGGTGCTCCGGAACTGTCAGATTATTTTTCTTCGGCATTTAACACACGACGATTTGTCAATTTGTAAAAAGGCGACAGTAATTTACCGCTGTTTAAATCTCGTAAATCGATTAGGAAGAGACAAATCAAGGTATCAAAATACATCCGAGGGAATCGGAAGCCGAGGGAATCGCATGTTCTCCATAAGTACCGAGACCGGGTGAGTCTTCAGGGTAAGCGTCTCCTGCGATGCATGTATCACCCGCCTTGTGAATTCACACTCAGTACAAATATGACAATCGTGAATAGAAAACAATCGATAAATTATAGATTAGACTACCATAGGCTGGTATCTAAGAACGAGCAAACATGTCGCTATTGGGTAGAGACACCGACACATCGTATCGGTCAACCAATTCGTGATGTGACCATTAAACCTATGTTGTGTCGAATTCGAATTTGTGTCACGAACACACAACTGTAATTGAAGTCCGTATAGTGTGAACATGCACGAGCGTAATATACCGGTATTACATGTAACTGAGATATGTAAACTCCATATGGTTACAGTTGGTTCTTATGCTTTGTCGTTTTATACCTGTCCAAGGTTAGGTGATTGAGCGCTCACAATTTGAATTCAAGTGATGATGTCCACATGCATTGTTAATTCATTTGAAAGCATTTGATTCTTACAGAGTCTCCCATATTGTAAAATGTTTAATGAAACAAATGAAAATGGATATCATTCAACAAACAGAATGTCCAGCACTTTAAAAAAATAATTTTATAATTTTCATATATTCTGTTAATACATAAATATATAGTCCAATTTATGACCATTTTAGAAGTTGTTAAAATGTCATGAATTCGTCTGTTAACTTATACTTTGTACTTATGACACCATTGTTTACTGATGGAAGAAAAATAAATGTATCAGTCCTTTTTCCTTTCCACATTGAGCATAAGCCAAGTCATGGAAGCAGCCAGTGCAAATACCTGAAATGATAGCTACGAATTTTAAAGACACTTCATAAATAAACGTATGTCCTTTTCAGTTTTCATAACTGTTCAAAGTGTGTTTGGGCTAGTTATAGTAAATACAGAATAAGAAAAATTAATTTCTCTGATTTAAAGCGGTTCTGACTGGTTGGATTTTTTTTATAACCTACAATGTTGCATGCGCTTTCCAACCAATTCTATTCGGAATGATACACTCATAATTTTTTTCTTGAATTATTGGAGAATTATATTTGGAATATTATACATATTTTTTCTTATATTATTTGGTAACGTTTTTATGTAAAAAGAAAAGAGCATTGCTTTTCTTAGGTAAGATTAAGGAAAACTGTGAGTTTCTTGTGTTACTCTTTCTTAGAACAGTATATTAAATACAATCAGCTAGCAGTTCCGTGAATCTGTGTATTCCTTAATCAATGCAAGACCCTTTTTTTTACTAGTTCCCAGAATTTAGCGTATTTATATTTTTTTCAATTTTTGCAATAACTCGCCTAACTTTTATCTCCTTATCCAACCCAAAAAGTGAATGTTAAATAATAAAAGTTGTAACAAATATCCGGCTTTCCGTCTATTAAAAACATATTTTTTCCTCTACTTGAAAAGAAATTCTTCTCCTTAGTATACCAGTTGGCTTTCAGTATGATATAATAAGTAAAACGTAAAATAACAAAAATACCGAACACCAAGGAAAATTCAAAACGGAAAGTCCTCTTTAACAAACGGCCAAATCAAAAGCTCAAACACATCAAACGAATGGAAAACAACTGTCATGTTCCTGACTTGGTACAGGCATTTCCTTATGTAGAAAATGGTGGATTAAACCTGGTTTTATAGCTAGCTAAATCTCTCTTTTATGACAGTCACATAGAATTCCATTATCTTGACAACAGTGTGTGAGCAAAACAAACAAACATAAGTAAAAATGTCAAAAATTGGGGTACAGCAGTCAAAATTGTGTTATAATCTTAATCATGTTCAGCCATTAGCCTTCATTTTTTGTTCATAAAATGCGAAGTGTGACGTTTTTACATTTACCTGTAACAAAGTCAAACTGAATCCAGTAAACATGATCAGATTTAAGAACCATCTGGTAGTGTGTGAGTATTCTTTGGTGTGCTCCTAAAAGGGTAATAGATAAGGAAGCAACAGTTAGAGAACATTAAATTATATAAACTGATTATTTGCTAATGTAAAACCATTAAATTTCTGCTGATAAAGAGGCACCGATTATTGCAGATCACCAGAATGCAAATAGCATTAGCTTTGATAACGCTTACGCCCTATTGAAATACCTTGAGTGTTTAGCTTTGTTTGTTGTATTGCCTGTCGCATAATTGGAAACCGTATAAGCTGATCTCTAGATATTCATTAGTTATCTTGTGTTGTATGGTTGCTGACTAATTTGCACTAATTCCTATTGGGTGTTACATCCATTGACATTGGTATTGACACTTATGTGTTATCTTATTCATAATTTTATATACATGATACATCAACTTATAAAGAACACATGTCAAAGGAATATTTATTCAACTTTAACGTAATGGAAAATCATTTCATCACATGTACTTTATAGTAGTAACATTACGGATATCAAATGTGAAGCAAGATATGTGCAAATCCTTCCTGAGAACCTCAGATTACCCCTTTTTTTTGTTGTCTGGTCCCTGTTACTCAGACGTACGAGCATTTTATAGACTATTGTATGTCTTCTTGTCGTTACTCGTGTTCTGCCATGATTGTGTCGATCTCTCTTCGACTTCTGTGTTTTGCCATGATTGTGTCGATCTCTCTTCGACTTCTGTGTTTTGATTTTCACTTTGGTACCTTCCGTCTTTTTTATACATATATCTCAGTGATGTACTTACAGGTGAAATGTACTGGAATGCTGTTATTGCTGAAAACGATTCTCCAATTATTCCGGCACAAAAGTACAAAATATTCTGTTAAAGAGAAAATTGTTTCACTTTTTATATTTTCATCTTTTGTTGATTTACTGTTTCTGACTTTGGCTTGGAAGTAATTTAAAAGTCTTATAACATAGATTAAACAGTTTGTCAGTGTTAATTAATTATGTATTAATATACCGAAAAAATACAGTATAGAAATTTTTTGTATTGTACTATAATATTATATATGTAACAGTATACATCTTTCTTAGTTGTACTGTGTTGTACGTGGCTAGCTCATTAACGTTTACACCAAATCCTCCTTTTATTTATATATTACTCTCATTATTGACCCCCGATGCACTGCGATATAGTGAATAATTTCCATCAGTCCGACTGTCCGAAGAGAATTCTTTTTATAATGTGCAATTGAACATGCATGCTATGTCCCCATTTTGATTGACATCTCTTAAGAAATTGGAAAACGTTCATACATGAATTTATTATATTTTTTTTGTAGTAGCTCAATCGGACATCTTATGAACAGTACTCCTCTAATATCGTTTGCAATAGAGCTTTCATACTGAGGGCTGTCAGTCATCAATTATCATTTTAAATGTGTGCAGGAGTTAAGGGGCTTTGATCACTCATAATAAATCAAAGGAGATTGGGGTATATGTCAATAAGACAGCAACCCAACGAACACATAACCAAAATACATCGAGATCTCAACTAACAATCTTCAACAATAGACAGGTGACTATACTTATATAATAGTTATTGAAGAACTGGTCATTATCGAGGGGCCTGATGGAGGGGTCTCATCACGATTCACGAGTTGATTTTTTTGTCAATCACGATTCACAGAAAATAAATTTCCATGATCACGGATCACGAAAATATAAAAAAAAATAAATCTTTAGAAAAACGGATCACGATAGCGAAAATGCGCCGATCACGAAGAACGAAAATAACCCATCAGGCCCCTCATTATCGTGATATTTGGACTGTCTTACGGGCAGTCCATGTATCACGATAATGACCAGTTCTTCAATAACTATTATGTTTATTTCATTGAGGAACCATGTTTTTAAAAATTCTCATATTTTCAAATTGTTCAAAGCAAACTCGAGTTATTGTACGATTTCTATAGGAAATAGTGAAGACCAGTCATAGTGATAACTATAAGTCACTGCCATTCAATTAAGTGCAATTTTTCAGTATATGAATACAAAATAAAGTTTTCTATAATTTTATAATTCTTGTTGCTGAGTAGTTTCTCTCTATACAATCGGAAAGTACGGCAAAACGATTATTTGAGTTGTCTGTAGCAGACGTGCCTTCCAGTTTAGCCATGTTCCAAACGTCTGAATCGCGATTGCGTTTTATTAAAGGGACATCACTCTAAACAGAGAAACCACGCCCCACAGGTCATTAACATGTAAAAGTCCGTTAACGACCGGTTTTCTGGTCAGTTTTTTTCTGTTAAAGACCGATAGAATTTTTTACTAGAGAATAAAGAATGTCATGTGGCCCCTTGTTATCCAATAAGAGAAGCTAATTCTTGACTGATATGAAATAAAATACGATAATCTATGGATTGCTCTGAGTTGTATAAAAAGTTGTGAAAAAATAGAAGACTATCAAATATTTCCCATTAACAGCAAAGCCTTAAAAAAAAATTAAGATCTAACAAAAGACAAACACAGACGAAGTTTCTGACTTGTGAGTTTTTTGTTGGTTTTGTGTTGCTTAATCTTAAAATTGCTTTTCTGTGTAGTGTTTTGTGGTACTGTTGTTTCTTTTAGTCATGGCATTGTATGTTTTTAATCGAATTATGGTTTTTGATTGTCACCTTTTTACCGTCTCTTACTTTTTATCCCTTATCTCTTAAACCTTCAAACACGTATATAAGTATAACTATATATACATAATGATGAGAGAGAGAGAGAGAGAGAGAGAGAGAGAGAGAGAGAGAGAGAGAGAGAGAGAGCGAGAGAGAGAGAGAGAGAGATCCCCATTTGAAATACCAGATGAATTTTAGAACCTACCCAAATGATGAAGATTACTTGGGAGTTGTAGAGTATCCTGTTGACCAATAAAGCCAATAATACACCGATTCCAGTTGTAATAAAGATGTAGGATGTTGTAGATAAAACTGCCAAATCTGAGTCTTCCTCTGAAGTACTGAGTCTAATGTATACTCCGCAGGTAAGACTAAGCAGCGCTGAAAACTGTATGAAAAAGTTAATTACTTCGATATTGAATGGGTTGGAATAAGGCTATTTATCTAATCTTAAAAATGGAGGTACTGTAACACTTTTCAAACAAACCGAGGATAATTCGTCTAGCCTGGTTCTGTATTTAAATGTTTAGAACATTTGCAAGTAGACAAACAATTAAAATGCAAAAAAAAATTTAGTTTCTCGTTGGCAATCAATTTGTCACTGGACATAATGAAAACAATCATCAATCATTGGCAATACTACCACATCTAGATATTGATTTAATAAATGGAAGGTAGTGATATATTTAAGTACTGTATTGTAGTTTTATTTTGTCATTTAACCTTACCAATACTGTAGCTTTTGTATAGTAATAACAACGTTTGATATCTTCTCTTAATTGAATGACGGCAACAACAAAATCGTACAGCTGTTTTATTACACCAGACACCATACTTCAAGCTGTAAAGCAAAAAAAACTGTAAAAAAAAGGCTACTTTAACCTCCTCAAATGTTCACGTCAAAGCTTGACATTTTGTATGATTATATGAAACAGAAATTCAAAACAATCAACAATAAGACTTTCATAACACGTTTAAAACTATTACCATTGAAGATTATACAAGTTATGTTCTATTATTATCGACACTGGTGTTAATGTAACAGCTAGTAAATTTGATCCGGTAGTAAAATTTGTCCGCCAGACTTTTTTTCCTAGGCAATCAAGTCCGTTACCATAATTTTACTAGGGATGTAAGTCCCTGGATAAATTTTCCTAGGAAAATAAGTCCATAGCTAGTAAAATATGTCTGGCACTTATTTTCTAGGAAAACTTTTATATATCACTTTTTTAATTTTTTTTATGAAATTAGAATATAGCAAAGTGCTCTCGACCAATGAAATTGTAGAATTTGATGGCTCTTAATTGTGAAGAATGAATGTAAATCATGTTCTTAGTAAGGGATTATCCTATTATTTGGGTCTATTTACAGTTCAAAACAAAGAGTTTCTATAAATGAGTTACAACTGCCCCAAAGCATATTTATCAGATTGAAAGGATTTATCACAATTACTGAACCTGACTAAAAGGTGTATTGTGAAACAAATAAACAAATCTAAATAAGTTGAAGTTTACTGGTGCAGTAAAATTTGTACCTTGAATGTCATTATGAATACCGGGTATATGAATAACTTCAAATTACCCCAAAAAAATAAACCATATCAACTTAATGCCAAAAAAAAAGTTTGAAAATAAAAAATAACCTTAATCTTCTACTTTCCAAAACTATTATTACTGAAACAGCTGTTGGGGAGAATAGCTATTTCCAATATTCTGATAAAATAAAAAAAAGCAACAGGAATTTGAATATATTCAAAATTTTTAAGGGCATTTTATTAGAACATTTCCCTCACTTTATGAAATAGTATTTGATTTTATAAAGCTGGACCAAAATATTGATTGTGTTTTAAAATAAGTTGTAACTTAAATGTATTTTTTTATTTAAACTGTAAATAGAAAAAGGATAATTCCTCACTAAAATATTACATGATTTACATTCATACTCACAATCAGGAAACAACTACAATTCCCACCTTTTCTTTGTACTGTTGTGTCACCTAATGTCTATAATGCACTTTTAAAATATTTCCCAAATTAAAAAACAGTCCTTACATCACTAAAACTAACCCATAAATGAAATGCTAAAAAGTGAAGTCATGCATCAATAATAAACATTTCATTTACACTGACCATGCTGACAATGAAATTAATTCTTGAATAAAACCAATCAAGAGATCATTTGAGCCTTGAGCACTTTACGATATTCTAAGTTTGTAAGAGAATGATAATCCCTTACTTCATGATAAGTACTCGCTAACGCTCGTACTTAATCATGAAGAAAGGGATTATCATTCTCTTACATATACAAAGTCCCTTTAAAATTTTATTTCTTAAGACATTCTTCAAATAAAATATTAAAATTTAGAAAGGAACATTTGTAATTATGTACATCATAAAAGTCTGTTATATCAATTTTCCTAGGAAAAAAAAGTTTGTTAAGTTAAAAAAAAAAACATTTTTGTCGAGCCTGCGACTTTTGTCGCAAAAGCGAGACATAGCGATCCTACATTCCGTGATCGTCGTCGGCGGCGGCGGCGTCCAGAAATATTCACTCTGTGGTTAAAGTTATTGAAATTTTAATAACTTTCTTAAACTATCCTGGATTTCTACCAAACTTGGACAGAAGCTTGTTTATGATCATAAGATAGTATCCAGAAGTAAATTTTGTAAAAAAAATCCTGTTTATCCGTATTTTACTTATAAATGGACTTAGTTTTCTGCCAGTTAACATTACATTCACTCTGTGGTTAAAGTTTTTAGAATTTTAATAACTGTCTTAAAATATCCTGGATGTCTACCAAACTTGGAGAGAAGCTTGTTTATGATCATAAGATAGTATCTAGAATGAAATTTTGTAAAAATGTATTTCCTGTTTTTCCGTATATTACTTATAAATGGACTTAGTTTTTCTTCCAGTTATTCTTACATACAGTCTGCAGTTAAAGTTTTAAAAACATTTATTAGATTCATAAACCATCCTGGATTTTTACCAAACTTGGACAGAAGCTTCTTACAATCAAAAGATAGTATCAAGAGGACAGTTTTTAATAATTTTTCCCCATTCAATAAATTTATGTTTCAACTCTTTTATAAATATATAGATTTGATTGCATACTGTATTCATTTTTTACAAGCATAACTTTTTTCATACATTTCAAACGTTTTATTTCATTAACTGTAAATCTATTATGTGCATTCCCCTATCACACTGAAAACATAGACAACAGCAAAAGTAGGCGAGACATTGGGTTCCGCAGAACCCTTACGAACAGTGAAATATTAATGCACAACTGTTAAACAATTTAAAAACATATAACAATTAAAACTTCAATTGTTTACGTGTAAATTATATCTTTCATTACAAATTGTCTTATTAAATTATTAATATAAAGGACATGGACGTTTTTACCTAGGAATATTAATGACCTGGACATGAGTTCTTAGGAAAATTAGTCTGGGGACACACATTTTATAAAAAGATTAATACAAATATTTTATACAAATATTTTATTGGCACAAACACAATTACAATAATTGACAAAGGCCCATATTTCAGTACATTATTACAATGAATACAGCACAATGAAATAATGTGTTATAATTAAGAAGATAAAATCTCATTTCTTTAATCAGACATTTACGTATATAAGAACTATTAATGCACAACTGTTAAACAACATTTAAACATAAGAATTAAAAATTCCATTGTTTACATGTAAATGATTTCTTTTATTACACATTTTCCTAGTAAAATAAAGGACATGGACGTTTTTATACTTAGGAATACTGATGACATGGACATAAATTCCTAGGAAAATTAGTCTGGGGACATAAATTACTGACATCGGACTAAATATACTAGTAAATTCTGTAACCATGGACTTTTTATACTAGTAATATTTGTCCGCCAGGACTAATTTATCTCTTTACATTTAGACAATTTCATTTGATATAACAGGTACAACAGAACAAATGCATGCTATCGATATCGCAGTCAAGGTTAAAAATTAACACAGCACTCAAATCTAGCGCAATTCTGTAGCTTTATTTACCCCCTTGTATAGTTCCAGACAATCTGAAGTTATGAGCATCAACTCCCGATTACCATTCTTTAACCGTTTCTACATTTGTAAACTGAAGTTTTCCTTTTTTTAAAAGACAAACCACTTAACTGATTTTTCAAACAAATTTATAATGTTTATAAGAATAACTGATTCTCGAGGTCGTCACGGTTTGCGACTTTGGTGCTAGTTTTGTTCACTTTCACTTTGATTAATTATTAATACATAATTTGTAGTAAAGTCATCGAATTGTCTACACCAAAGTTAAAACGGTCATTTTAAGACAACATGATTCAAATGATTGATATTTTGAAATCTGTATTTTTAAGGTTAAAACCTTTTTTTAATTATACCAATACAGAAACAAGTCCGCATCAAAAATTTGTCCACTTAGAAAATGTTCATTGAAAGTACCAGATTTTATATGAATTTTTTTTAGAAAAAATACTTACTAAAGACTTACTTTAGTTATTATATGTATAATATGTTATTCCAGAGATTGCTTATAATTGAATTTAAAACATCAAGTTGATCAATGACATGAAATTATCTTACGTCATGGGGTACTGTACCTGTGTAGATACACGTACCTGTACTGCCTTGAGTTTAAATTTCTGCGTTCAATTGATCTAAATTACACTAAATGTTCTCGTCATTTACCAAAAAAAAATGTTACCTGCATATCGTTATACTATAAAATTTGAAATTTGCGATGGTACATTGCATTTATTTGTTGCGTATGGAACAAAATCTGTGTTTTGAAACGACGACTAGAATTTAGCTTTGTGTCGCCATATTCAAACACCACAGGTGAGAAAGGAATGTCAAGAACGGACAATTCATGACAGTCGTCTGTACAGAAGAAACGGGTTTCAAAGACCGCTTCTATTCAGGCCGAGTTTGATAGAAAACTTAAGGGTCTCACAGAAAAGATAGGAAAGAGTTGAAATAAACTCTTTAATTTGTTTGACAAATACGAGTAAAAGCAATTTCAATCAGAATAGAAAATTTCTGCCCAGATCTGATTGTAGTAACGTGGACAACGTTCTGTCAGGGGAGCGTAGACCATTGTTGAATCATCTAATATCTTAGTAAGACCAAGATTTTGGGTCTTTCGGAGTTTATAGAAATAAAGATTTTGAAATCAGGTCAGAAATATATAAAGGGGTGTTCAAAAGGAAACCTCGTCGGGGATAATGCTTCTTATAAAGAAAATTCACTATTTGGAAGCTTGAATTATATCATAATTTCTTTATATAATCATAAATTTTGTGCTTTCAAACAAAATCTATGCCCATTCATAAATAAAAGTCCAAGTAATTCGAATGAATGAAAATTCAGAACACCAGCTCTATAGTGTTATTTTAATTTCCTAACACTTGGTTGAAGTGATACCTATGTGTATCATCACCTCAATAGTAAGTTCTTCGGTACTCGCATGATTTTAAACATACTTTTCTTAAACTCTCCGTTCATAAATTTGAAATTAATAAGAGGCTTAGGTTTACAATCCCGCATGCAAAGTTGATGGATTTAGTCATATAGCTCCCAAAGTTTTCAAATATTTATACCACCTTGGCTTGTCAATATTTGGGTTTGAGCATTCCTATATAGGTTACAATACACCATTAGATTTTATGGGCGCAACATGGTATTCAGAATTAAGAGTATAGCTAATCCTGATTGGTTGATATGTGCGCCCGTTATTTTTTGTTATTAGAGACTTCGTGCATTCTGCATTATACCAAAGGCCAAATAAATTATTTTCCTTAGCCCTAACG